GACTTACGGAGGTGTGTTCGTTAATTGGCACAGATCGACGATATCGACAGGTCATTTTGTTAGATCTACGATATATCAGGCGTCACACATATTTTTCCCTAACGCGCCACTCGATCACGTTCCCGCGCTCTTATATAGAAATTGAAAATTTTAATTGGAAACTTCTACTAGTCTTACCCCCCTGAAAAAAAAATTCTTTTCCTTTTTCTATTCACTCAAACGGAATATATTTATAAACCACAATCTCTGCTTAGAAATCAAAACTCAAATCCGATAAGAAATTTTTTTTTCTGCCCCAAAAGAGGATAAAAAAAAAGTAGTTCGAAAAGATAAAAATGATTTAAATTAAAATTGAGAATGTGTCATCTTATAATTAAATTCATAAATTGACATGAAGTTTAATAAGTTAATTTTAAATCAATATACGTTGAAGCAATGAAGACATTAATCAGAATGTATAAAAATACAAAAACATTAAACGAAAATTTTTCCCAACATTCAACTTGAATGAAAATGATAAGCAATAATTATACCAGCATTATTTGTCGCAAACAACTTTTATATTTAAATATTATAAATACTTGGACAATTTTATTCCGTGTCTCGAGAGAGAGAGTGTTTCAAAAAAAAAAAAAAGAAGGAAACCGGAATATATTATTATTAAGTTATATCCATTTTCCAGAAAAAGACACATTTTTCTCCAATCAATTTTGCGACCCGTATATATGAGAAATTAATGTGTCGCCAAGATAAATAGAGTGTTATTTATCCAAAGCGTTAAATTAACGCTTTGAAAAAAAAAATTATTATTGAGAATATTTCAAAAATAAATTTCCTATAAAAATGAAAGGAATAAAAAAAGAAACGAAACTAATAAAAAAATAATACGAAACGAATAATCATTTTATCCCGGATGAAAAAATCTACACTAAAAAGATGAAAGAAAGAAAGAAAATAATAAAGAAATAAGGAAAAGGAGTCGTCGTAAAATTACGGTAGCATTTGGAGAGAGAAAAGGCGCGAGGAACACAAGGCGAACGTAATTATTCGGTGCGAACGATGGTTAAGTGCGTCCGTAGCACTCTCGAGGAAAAATAAGTATATATAAGAAGGTAGATTGGGTATAACAGACGAAAGAGAAGAAGAAGAGTTGTGAGAGAATCGAACGAGGATCAAAAACGAGTATATGGTAGTCATTGAAAGTGGCGGAAGAAAGATACAGACAAAAAAGAATCGAGAGATAAAGAAGAAGGAAGAACTTGAAAGATGTAATTCCCATACAGCTTCACCGAAATTAGTATCTCGAAGTGCGCACTCTGCGAGCACAGGGATGTAAAACATGCCCGGATACCTCGAAAATTCGTTCTCATATAACGATTACTATCGAAAACAGAGAGACAGAGAGAAAAAGTAAAAGAGAAAGAGAGAGAGAGAACAAAACTTATACGGTTCAAGACGAATTTTACGAGCAGAGCTCTTCGCGCGTGATTAACTCCTTTGGCCGGTTTAGCAATAAGGAGTCAAACATAATGAGATAAATTACCTCAAAAATCACGAACACATGACTAACTCAATCCGACTATTACGTAATTTATGATTCTCCAAATTTTATTGATTTCAAGAGAAAAAAAACCTTAAATTATGATTTAATAATTTTTAATTAGGATTAAAAAATTAAAAATATATTTCGAATCAAAAATATACTTTGTTAAAAATATATTTCGTATTAAAAATATACTTTATTAAAAATATATTTCGTACCAAAAAATGTATTTTATATCAAAATTATATTTCATATTATTATATTTATTATTATATTTTATACAAAAATTTTATATTCAATTTTAATTTATATTGAAACTTGGATTAAAACTTGAAAAAAAAATAAAACTTGAATTTGTATCAAAAATATATTCTACGAAAATAAAGTTTTTAAAAATAGAAAAATATCTCTTGCAATAAAAATTAACATCAGTGAAGTTCCACAATAACGTTTATGATCAACGATTGAACGAAACAAAATTCAAACCAAAAAGAATAAAATTGTTCAACAAATTTTTTTAAATTATTGATTAAAAAAAAACTATGAAAAATATAATTTAAACCAAAAACTTTTATAAATTTAAGTAGAAATATATTTTTTCTTCTAAATTGTTGATTATAAACGTTGCTATAACATCGCACTGGTGTTAAAAATTATAATATTAAATAAAATACCATTTAACCGAATTTACATTAAGCGGAATTTCCGTAGTTAACAGACTGTAAGAAAGAATATTTATTCTACAGAATATTGTATTATTAGAAACGAATTTATATACTTAGAAGAAATATTTACACAAAACGGAATTTATATTTCATGAAAAATTTCCATTAAACAGAATTTTCATTTAATAAAAGCTTTAACTTAACACATTCCCATTTTTATTTAAAAGAATTTTTCTATTTTTTATTTGACTCTTTACATTTAAAACGATTCGGAATTTAGAAAATTATTATTTTAATTATTATTTTTTACTGTTAATTAAAAATTTTTATTTAAACATAGTTTTTATTTAAAAAATTTTAAAAATTAGACAATTTTTATTTAACGACAGTTTTTATTTAAACCTCGTTTTTATTTAATTTAATTTAAATAAATTCGGAATTTTTGACAATTATTTTATTTAAACTCAGTTTTTATTTAATTTTATTTAAATAAATTTGGAATTTTTTACCATTTTGATTTAAATCAATTTGTAAGTTTAGACAATTCTTATTTTAAATTAATACTTCAGTTTTTAAAAATTTAATTCTAAATCAATAATTAATAATTATTGATTTAACTTTAAATATTTGACTCTAAATAAACTACATTACTGCTATTTTATTTAATAAATTGATTATAAACTTTTTATTTAACGAAAGTTCAAATTAAATTAATTGAATTTAACTAAATTTGTATAAATATAAAATTGGGTTTAATAAACAATTTTTCTAAAGTACCGATCGTTTAAATGGACAAAATTTGTTTTCTGTGTAAATGTTTCCAAAAATTTACTAAGCGAAATGAAACGTATGTTCACGTCTTTGAAGTTTTCAACGTTTATGTATAATCAACAATAAAAAAAGAAAATTCACCCAGAAATGTTTATAACAATATTTAAAAAATTTTTTTTGTTCAAAATAGTTGATCAAAAAGATTTACTACAAATTTTCCAAGCAAAAATATTCGAAAACTTGCTTAGAAAAATGTTTTTTCTTCTAAAAAAACTTCTAAAAAACCTCGTAAAAATTTCACTCAAGTGAAATTATCAAACAAAATTTAAATTTTAACGAAACAGAAAAAAATCGTCATTCCATTTGATGGTTAAAGTATATTTAGAGGCATTTTTTTCAAAAAAGACAAATTAAAGTAAAGTAAAAAAAATTTTTGTCGTAAATTTGAACTTTCGAAACATTTAAGGAACATAAACAAATATATAAAGTGAAAAATATTTAGAAACATAAATAAAAATTTGATTACAGAAAAATTCAAGAAAAAAAAATTTTTAAAAAGTAAATTAATGTTCGGTTAGACAAAAATCAGAGATAAACTAAAAAAAAATTAAATACAAATTCTGTATAGAGAACTATATTGAACGTTTAGATTAAATAAGAATTGTAGTAAATACTTTGGTTCGATAGAAGATAATAAATTTAATGAAAATTCGGAAATAATATAACAAAATAAAAATTCTCATTGAAAAATTATTCGAATCTGAAATTCAGTTGAAATATCATTTGAAAAATCAGTTAAAACATTAATTAAAAAATCAGTTGGAAAATCAGTTGAAACATCAGTTCAAAAATCAATTTAAAAATTAGTGGAAAAATCAGTTTAAACAAAGTTGAAAAATCAGTTAATAAATCAGTTGAAAAATTACTTTAAAAAATGCAGTTCAAACGTCAGTTAAAAAATCAGTGGAAAAATCGTTTAAAAAAGTAGAAAAATCAATTTAAAAAACAGTTTAAAAATCAATTAAAAAAACAGTTGAAAAATCAATTAAAAAATCAAGTCAAAAAATTAACTTTAAAAAACCAGTTCAAACATCAGTTAAAAAATCAATTCAAAAATCCAGTTAATAAAAATTGCCTCTCAACAGAAACATTTCCACAAAAAAAAGAAATAGTCAAATTCCAAAAAATAATTCAAATTCAAACAAAAAATAAAATTCCTGTATCTAAAATGTCCATATACTAGTATTTAAAGTGTGCCCCCCTCTTTTTCCCCGGGGGGGCGATCGCGATTGAGAGAAGCTTAACTTGTGCCCAGCACGCTTCTTCAGAGAAAAAGAGGTAGAAATTAAACCGAGAGAGCTCCAAGGGAGAGAACGAGAACGAGAATCGATAAGAAGGGTGAGAGAGAGAGAGTGTGGAAGCAAAAACAAGAAGGCGATCTAAGAGAGAAAAAAAGAGAGAGAGAGAGAGAGAAGAATAAAAGAGTTTCAAGAGTGAGAAAGACGATTAACACGAATGGCCATTTTAGCGCTCGCGGGGGTAACGATAGATAAAACGTGCACGAGTCTTCAAGTAGAGATATATACAGGTTTTTTTCTGCGAAACAAGAATACCGATCCGCCCTTCCGCGAGTGCAAAAGATGAACGGAAGAGTAAGTAAGTAAAGGAATAAGAGAGTGAGAGAGAAAGAAAAAAGAGAGAGAGAGAGAAAAAGAGTAAGAGAGAAAGAGAGAGAGAGAGAGGATTAGAAAGAAGAGAATACTCGTGGCTTGGCCGCGAGTAATCAACGAAGTAAAGGCGATCGGTTTGGGTGCAAAGTGAACGAGGACAGAGGATCGGTGACGATGGCTTGGTGTGGGCGCGTGTCTGGCAGCTGCCGCTTACAGGTGGTGTGCTTGCTTGGGAACCAAGCTCAACAGAACGTTCCCACGGAAGGCCCATCCCCCACTTTGGGCCTCAGCACATCGTCTCTCTCCACCGTCGCCCTTACCCATTTCCTATATAAACTCGACGCTCCACTCTGCCAGCATTCATAATCACTCTGACTCTCGTACAGTGTTGAACGTTTTTTTCAAAGCCAATACTCGTCACTAGAGCCACGAGCCAATCTCTATTTCTCCAATTTAAAAAAAAAAAAGTGTTTTCTTTTTCGGAGTTATTTGTGTAATTGTGCCTTCACATCAACTCAAGTGCCTCCTTTTGGATTTACATTCAGCAAAACAATGCAAATGCACGAGCAAATCATGATTGTCGACGGACAGGAGCAACCAATCTCGAGAACATATCAATACCGCAAGGTAGGTGTCATTACCTAAAAACAAATTCAATTCTCAATCATTTCAATTTCAATCTCATTTTTTCAATTTAAAAAAAAATTCAAACTGTTTCAATTTCAAAAATTTGAATTTAAACTGAATTTGAATTTAAATTCAAATTTTTGAAATCGAAACAATTTGAATTTAAATTGCATTTCAAAATTGAAAATTTAATTTTAAACTTTAAAAAAAAAATTTTTCGAATGAAAACTAAAAGTACCTTTTTCTTGCTATTTTCCAGGTGATGAAACCAATGTTGGAAAGAAAACGACGAGCGCGAATTAATCGTTGCTTGGATGAATTGAAAGATTTAATGGTGACAGCATTGGCGGGCGATGGTGAGAATGTGGCAAAATTGGAGAAGGCCGACATCCTCGAATTAACAGTTCGTCATCTACATAAACTCCAGAGACAACAGAGATTATCAGCAAATCCAGTGATTGATGCCGATCGTTTTCGTGCGGGTTATACACATTGTGCAAATGAAGTGAGCCGTTGCTTGGCAGCGACGCCCGGCGTTGATATTGCATTGGGAACAAAATTGATGACACACCTTGGACATAAATTAAATTCAATGGATAAAACCGGACCATTAACAATTCATGTCGCCACACCTCAAACAACAACATCAATTTCTGATAGCAGTTCCGATGAGTATTCAATGCCTTTGACACCAGCCTCAAGTCAACCATCACCAGCAAGATCAGATGTTGAATCTGCCTCCTCACAAACACATCATCATCATCATCATCAGGGTCTTCTTCGAGTTGCAAAATCTAGCGAACCAGTTTGGCGACCTTGGTAGAAGAGAATTTTTTTTCCCATATTTTTTTATTTTGGGATTTATTGCAATCAAAAGAAGAAACTATAAAAAGGGATTAGAAGAAGAATTCCAACCTGGAGGCAATTTTAAATCTGTGATTTGAGAAATAGTGTAACTGTGTTGAATTTCAAATCAAAATTATAATAGATCGTCATCGAATAGGAGAAAAAAAAGCGATCTTAGTGTTTAAAAGTTTTTTTTTTTTTGCTCAAGGACACTAAAGCGATGATCAACTTTTCATCGCAAAGTATATAGATATTAATTTTGTATATTTAAAAACAGATCTCGACACGTGTAACACGGTCCACGCATTTAATAAGTGGGATAAAGCTTTAATTTACGCGACAGTTAGGTTTTATCTATTGTTTATTTCATATATAGAAACATTTATCGAGACTATATTTTTTTTTCCTCGTTTTTATAGAGCAAAAATTTGTCGTGCGCCTCATTTTTATACGTTCCATTTCAAGTTTTATTGTAATCATAAGAATTTTTATTTTTTTGTAATATTGTGCGCAATGGATTACAAATTATTTTTAAAAAGCACGACAAAATTTTATGCTAAAAACATTGTTATCCTCTTCCCGGTCAACGAATTTATTGTTCAATGTTTAAAAAGAAGAAATTAATTTCTTTCAATGTTTTGTAGAAAAAAAATATATTTATATTATAAATAGGACCGAGAGAAGATCATGTGATAGAGAAACATGTACCTGTGATATTTACTTGTAGTGTACATAGTAAATGGTACAAGATTTTTTAATAAAAAAAAAAAGATTACTTGAATATATGTCTTTAATTGTCTAAAAACCCTTTCCCAAAAAAACAATATTTATATTTAATAAAAATTTAATTTAAAAAATTAAAAAAACTTTTAAAAAAATTAATTTAAAAATTCTTTTAAAATTCAAAATTGAAAAAATAATTTTTACTAAAATAAATAACGAAAAAGATTATTTTTACTAAAATAAATAACAAAAATAATCATTTTTACTAAAATAAACTACGAAAATGATAAGTTTACCAAAAATAAATTGCGAAAATTGAAATAAGTAAATTAAAATATTAATTTGCAAAAATTATCCAAATCTGTTAAATGAATTCTAATATTTTTAGAGTCGCACAAGTGTATAGCAGTTGTGACACTGTTTTTCGAAAATAAAAACAAATTTAAACTTGTAGATTCCTGTTTTTGTTATCGTTGGGAAATTTAGATACAGAAGTCGATAACTTTTCGACCTTTTTTAATCAAAATGAAAAAAAAATTAGGCAACTTAATAGTCAAAGAAAAACATTGTCTTGATTTAAAACTCATAGAATTATAAATAGGAAGTCAGATAAAAAAAAATGGTAATGAAAAAAACTAACTTGAGTTCAAATGTCGTCTTCTCTCCAATTTTGCAGCTTCACGCAATCACTTCTTTCCTGGCACTTGATATTTCACACCTAAAAAAAGAAACAAAAAATGTTAGAGTAAAATATTTTCAATTTTATTCAAAATAAAATTTTAAATAAAATAAAATTTAGTTAGTATTTAATTTAAAAAATTTAATTAATTAAAGAAAACAAAAATATTTCCAACTTTATAGAAATATTTTTTATTCAAACTATTAAATATTATTTTTATTCAAACTAAATTTTAAATAAAATAAAATTTAGTTAATATTTAATTAAATAAATTAAATGAATTAAATAAACTAAATTAAATATTTCTAACTTTATAGAAATATTTTTTATTTTCCCTTCACGATTTCAACACTAAAATTGAAGTACGAATTTTAGAATATCAAAAATAGAGGCTACGTTATTCGAGAGAGTAAATTCGAAAAAGTAAATAATTGAGGTTAATTTTGAAAATAAATAAATTTTCCCGACTCTAATTAATTGCGAATAGCGAGTGGTAAATCTGACTTACTGACACTGTATCACAGTTTTAAACTGGTGTGTCAGTTAATTGTATCACCCTTTAACAAAAGTAATTCCGTTGGCACCAATTCATTTGTCAATGAATATAGGTGACAACGGTCAAAGGAATGTTAATAATAGATCAATTTCCAAATTACAATGACAATTTTCGTTCGTAAATTGATTAAAAATTAATTTTAATTTCAATAATTTGCAATAAAAATATTTCATACTATATTGCTGAATAATAATATTGTCTGGCAAGATTTTTTTCTAAATCAAAAAAAAGTTTTGTTTATAAAAGAGTTAATCGAGTTAATAAAAAAATTAATTAATAATTAATTATAAACAATAATTATATTTACAATTTTGGAAATTAATTTTATCAATCTGGTGAGAAAAAAAACACTGCGAAATAAAAACAATCAATCCTAACCTAAAAATCGATTTTAATCGATTTTATTTTTATCCGAAAGAAAAATAAATTATTGATAATTAATTATAATAATGCGATACAATTAGCAATGTGTCTAATTACAGTCCATTAGCAGTAATTAGATTCACATAACTAACACTATGAACGAAGATAAATAAAGAGTAAACAGTAATTAACATTACTGATAATTATACACTTTTAATCACTTATTATTAATGGATACACTAATTATTAATACATAATCTGCTAACTAAATTCTGTAGTTTGCAAAAATTGTTTTATTTCAAAAACTTGATTGTAATCGAAGTAATTATTAAGAAAAAGAAATAAAAAATTCAAGACAAAAATATAAAAAAGCAACCTAACCTCAAATTTGCAAATTTCGACTTGTCACAAAAATTGTCGATTTTATTTTATTACTCTCCATCCACTTCTACATTTAACGATTCTATTATTTATACCGAAATTGAACTTTATAAAAAAATAGAATCAAAACAATATATTTCTAATTTGCAAACAGTTTCTAATTTTTTAAAATACGACAGTATTTGCCGATGTTGACAAACAAGACAGACAAAAAGGGCGCAATTTACCTGCGGGGGTGAATGACCCGAAATTGAGAGGAAAAACCGTTAGAATACATGGAGGGGGAAATTTTCCCAAAAAATCATATTTTTACGAACTATTAACAATTTATTATTAACAAATGACAAATTAATAACTAAAATAATAATATGACACAATTGACAGATATTACTTCGAAAAGAAATAAAAATTTACCCCAAAAAAAACAAACACAGGGTGAATAACAAACCAAAATTTGCAACTGTACATTACCTCGCGAATTATGTCAATCACACTGATGAAAATTTCTCTCCAACTTGTTGCACATATAAAATATACATATTTAAAAAAAAAAGTTGCTAATCTCAAAAAACTAAGTAGAAAATAGTTACTAATCGAAAAAGTTTAATCAACGATCTAAAAATCATTAGACTCGTTCACTCGTGCGGCAACACGTGTTGCGTAAATGAAATGCATATACGATAATAGAATGAAAATTTGGTCAGAATTTTTGCAGTAAAATATGTTTAATTTATAGAAAAACACTAGGCGATACTCTAGAAAGTGGAAATTAACACTAACAATGGGAAAATTTAGTTTAAAAAACGTTTTAACTCACTTTTCCAACAAAACCGCCAATCAGCTGTAACACATGTCACGACAGGTGCTCACTTATGCCGCGTCCATATTGCGGACAAATTCGGAACTAAATTTCTCAAGTTCGGTCGGTAACATTTCCAACTACTTCCCGCGCTTTTCAATATTGATTCAAAATTTAATTAATAAACGAAAAATACTATTGGAAAATTTAAATGAAATATAAATATAAAACAAATATAATTTTATCCGAATTAACAAATTTCATTGGTTTATTTATTCTACCTATTTATCTATTAAATAAAATTCTATTCTTTTTTTAAATTTGAACTTTATTGATTTTTCGCCACTCTACCGCTATCTGTCTGTAATTCCAGCAACTACCTCGACAATTTACTCTATTTACGTTTGAATTTAAAAATTCAAAAAAAAAAAATTAATTTGGTACAGAAAGAAAAAATTATTTCAGTAACTTAAATAAGTTTTAATTAACAAAAAATATTATAAATTAATAATAATAAATTAATAAATAGTAAATTAGTTCTTGTGTAGTAGAAAACAAATTAAATATTACATATTAATAATTAAATATTTATCGATTAAATATTGTGTATTGATTAAATTATGAATTAATTTTGTTTATTAGGTTGTCATGTCAACCGTTATTTCTGTAAAGAAAAAAAATTGCAAAGTGATTGTATTGTCACGTTAAATGTCAATATCAATAGATTTACAAGTGTCAAAAATATTTTTCAATATTATTTTTAAAATAATAATAAATTCTCTATTATTTTAATTATATATTTATTATTTCTAATTAATTACTTTTAATTACAAAAGTGAAAATGTTTTCTACTTTTTACACAAAATCGGGAGAAGAATTAAATCGGGTATGTAATTGTAATAATTAGTGTCTATTTTATTAAATTAACAATATTTTTAATAATTAAATAAATAAATAAAAAAATAGAAAAATCATTAAAATTAATTTGTAAATTACCATTAAAATTAATATTAATATAAAAAATAAATAATAAATATTAAATATAAATAATTTATGAATTATTTAATAATTTCTATTAGTTAATTAAATTTTAATTATTCAACAAATAATAATTTAATATTAAAAATAATCGATAATTTCAACTTTATTATTAAAAATAATAATAATAATAAAAACATACGATAAAAAAAATTAATTATTAATTAAAATTATTAATGGCAATTTTTTTTGAGACAGATTTACGACAGACCTTTGGCATTAATTGCCTCAAAAAAAGCGTACGATCATTTTGTGGATTATACAACTGAAAAGCACAGAATGGCCATTCTTGCTGATAAAGAAGTAAAAAGATTGGAGGAAATTAAAAAAGCCACTTATGAAATGTCAAAAACTTGGGACAATACAATTGAGGTAATATAAAATATTTTTTTGTAATTAAAATAATTAAAAAAACAATCTTTAATTACAGAAATTTTGAATTGTATTTTTTAATTAAAATCATAATATTAATGAAATATAATATAATAATATATAAGTATTAAAATTCTAATTAATTGATTAATTAATTAAAATTGGATTTGAAATAAATAAATTCAATGAATAAAAAAAAATTAATTAATTAATTAATTGAATAAAATATATAAAAATTCCTATTTCTGGATAAATTAAAATAATCATTAAATAACCAAATTTAAATAACTTAACTCATAATAATTATTTTTATAAATAATCTAATAACTAAATAAAATTTAAATTGTAATTGAATTGAATAAATAATTAACAATTTTCATATATTATTTTTTAAAACTATTTTTCTTATAGAAATTGATTTATTCGAAAAATTAATTAAATAAATTAAAATTAGTATTATTAATAATATATTTATGCTGCAAATTTCTTTTTTATTTATTTATTTTTTAAGAAATAAAAATGAAAGAAAACGTATATAATTTCAGAATATAAATAGAAAAAAAGAAGAAGAATTATTAGCTAAAACTAAAAAAGAGGAAGCTGATAATATTCAGTTTATGGAGGAAATGGCAGCAAAAAAAGCGGCAGAACATGCAGAAGTTATTGAAGAAGCTAGAAAATTATTGCTTTACACGAAACCTCAGTGTAGACTTATTAACAGAGCACTTCTCACGTCCGAGGTGATTATTATAGAGAGATATAAAAATTCTATTAATCACTTTTCAACTTTTTCAATTATTTTTAATGATAATTAAAAAAATTCGTTACAATTATTATTTATTTAGATTAAATTTTTTTTAATAATGATAAAATTTTTTTATTTACTGTTTTTATTATTAATAATAATTTCCAGTGTCTCAGAAAATTAAATCTATTATTTTAATGTATAATATATAAAAATAATAATTATTAACTTTATTATTTATTTATTTATTTTACCTCCATTATTGAGATTATGATTATGATTATTATTGTTATTATTATTTTTCTTTTTTGTATTATTATTTTTATTCTTTTTGTTACTTTTATTGCTTTTATTAATATTATAATCATTACATTATTATTAATTTTATTTTCATTATTTTTATTATTATTATTATTATTATTATTATTATTATTATTATTATTATTATCAGTATTATTATTTTTAGAAATAATTTTATTTCCAGTGTCTAAGGGAATTAGATGCACAGCTTCAATTTCAAAGAAATTTGAAGCACCTTGAGAAGGAACAAGAAAATGAATCCTCTGAAAACTTCAAACAGGAAATTAAAAAACACGAAGAAGAAGAGAGAAAAAGAGCCGAAGAAATGATATTGAAAAATAAAATCTATGCAAGTGAACTAAAAAAGCAGTACGATTTTTTTTTTGCTTTATTTAAAAAAGAAAAGGAATGGAAAAATAAATAATAATAGTAAAATTGAAAACAAAATTTGCAAATATTCGCAGTAATTTAATTAAATTTATTTTTGCAGAATTTATAGAAATGAATGTATCTCAAGAAAAAAAGAGGTATTGCAAAAAGAAACGGCAAAACAGGAATTAACAAATATTACAAAAAAAATTGAAATGGAAAAAAAATTGGAAACTGAAGAAGTAGATTTTTATTTTATTTCTAATGCGCTACGAAATTTTTCGAATTTTTTTTTATTATTAATTTATAAAAATAAATTTTTTTTTATGGTTTTTGTTGCAATTTGGACTGTATTAAAAATTATTATTATTATTATTATTATTATTATTATTATTATTATTATTATTATTATTATTATTATTATTATTATTATTATTATTACTATTAATATATTATTATTAAATTATCAATAATATTATTATTGGTATAATTATTATTGTATATTCTTTTAAATATTAGTTTTCGATAAATTTTTTTATTTATCTACTTATTGTTTATTTCTATATTTTTTTGCCGAAATAGAAATTAGTTTAATATCGAACGACAAGAAAATTCGACGAAATTTTAAACAACAAAATTCAATTTCCAGTCAGAAAAGAAGAAAAAACAATTACGTGAACAATTTCTAAAAGCCCTCGAGGACAAACGAAAACATGAACTAAAAGTTAAGCGCGATCAGGAATTCGAGGAACAAGCAATGGCTGTTTATAATAAAGGAAAACGACAAATAGAAGCGAAATTAGATGATCAAATAAAAAGGGAAAAAGAAGACAGAATTCGTCGTTCAGAATATTTAGGTAAAAATACTCATTAGTAAAAAATTTAATTCTATTAATTATTTTTTACAATTATAATTTTTCTATAATTACTGTAAAAAAAAAAAAATTAACAACGAAAAATCCAAATCAAAAAACAAAAAAATATTTTCCCAATATAAAAATTTGTTGTTGATTTTTTATTATAATCATAACTTTTCTATAATTTTGAAAAAAAAAAATAATAAAGAAAATTACGAATTAAAAATAAAAAAAATTATATTACTGTCTTAGTTTTTCAAAGAAAAAAAAATTTTTTTCTTATTTTTTATTTACAGCAAAAAAATGTGCAGTTATTGCAAAGTCACGTGACAAGGAGGAAGAGACGATATTGAAAAAGGCGTTAGAGAAAAAGAATGCCGAGGATGAGGAGAAAAAAATAATACGCAAACGATATGAGGAAAAATTACGAATGGAAATGGAAAAATATCGACAGGAACTCGCTGTTTTAGTGGAAAATCAGAAAAAAGAAGAGGAACAATTTAAAGTATGGGAAATAAAACAGAGACTTGAGAGGGATAAATTCAACAAGGATATTAAAATTCAGGATTACAAGAGGGAAAAATTGAAGAAAGAAAAAATTGCCAACACACTTCGCAGGCAAATTGTAATCAAATTTATTTATTTAACTATTTAGCTTCTATTATTATAAATAATTTAAAAAATGACACTTAATAATAATAAATTTTCTTTTCTGAGAAATAAAATGAAAGTTTTTCAAATTAAAAAATTTTAGGCGCAGAAAGAAGCTGAACAGAAACGTATAAAAGAATTAGATGATAAAAATGATGTGACGAAGGAAATAATTGAGAAAACAAACGAAAAAATTCTTTCCTATGGTGAGGAAGTTCTTAAAGAATCAGAAGGTGTCAGACCACTTTATCCTATTGTTAAAGTTCTTCAGGTAAAGTATTTTTTCTGCGTAATTAATTTTTTAAATAATATAATTAATTATAATTAAATTTATTAAAAATAAATAGGAACCATTTTTATTTTTGTTTTAAAATTAATTTTTTTATTTATTGCACAATAAATATTTATAAATATTTATTTAAATGAATAAATAAATTTAAAATTCAAAAAATGATTTAACTAAGACGAATAAAAATGAACTTTTAATTCAAAAATTTATTAGAAAGTAATTTTTAATTACAAAAATTTATATAAAAAGTAATTTTTTATTACAAAAATGAATTTTTAAAAATTATGAAACGAAAAAATTAATTAAAAAATTATAAATTTAATTAAGAAGTATTTTTTACTTTCAAAGTGCGAATTAAAAAATTATTAAATTAATTAAAACGTAAATCTTAATTAAAAGGACGAATTAGAAAATTAATAAATTAATTAAAAGGATGAAGTAAAAAATTATTAAATTAATTGATTTCTCTGTACAGCAATTTAAAAACGAAGTGAGACCAAAATCTCGAATTTTACCACCAGCAGAAGAAAATAAATTCTATGAGAAGAATAAAAATATTCAACAAAACCATCAAACATTTTGTAAAAAATTGATTTCAGAATCGAAAAATTCTCCTGTGTGATTAAAAAATATTAAAAGAAAAATACAAATTTTGAAGAAAAAAAAATTATTGACATATTTTATTTACAGTAGTGTTCAAAAATTTTAAATACATTTTTTTTGACAAAAAATTTCATTTCCCACTGGAAGATTTACCTCTGCGTAACAGGAGTCCAAGTTTTAGAAAATACTGCAAAAAAATTTACTTGAATTAATTTTTTATATCTTTTTAATTGTAAATTACTTTTGAAACTTTATTTATTTCATTGTAAATTAAATTATTTCGTTTGTTTATTTAATTTTTAACAATGAAAATTTTTCATCTTTTTAATTGTTAATTTAATTGTAAATTTTGTAAATTTAATTTTAAATTTAAAAATTTAATTGTATTAGTAAATTATTAAAAATAGTTTCATTTGTTTATTTAATTTTTAATAATTAATCAAATTGATTATATCAAATTATATCATTTTAATATTATTTAATTTTTCTATAAAATTTGTTTCTTTTTTAATTATTTATATTTTTTTTGCAGAAAATTTTAAAGAAAATTGTTATTTTTCTTTTCGTTTGTAAATAAAGATTAATTAAAATTTAAAAAGTTTTAATTGTAATGAACGTACTTTGAAAATATTTAATATTAGATTGAATCCACCTGGAGTTCGATTAAATTTTCTTATGACTTGAATTTTTGTTTTTGTCGTTTTTTGCGTCTCACTGAGAATTCTATCTCTTATTTTTTCGATTTTATTTTTATCATCTTGCGATAGAAAGGTCTTAGCATCCGGACCCTCCGGCAAACCTTCCACAGGAATTTCTTTCTTTCCTTTATCTATTTTTAAATTTAAGACCAATTTGTCGACAATATCGAGCAATTCCTTAATTTCTGTCTCTTGTTTCTCCATTGTCTGTCGATACTTTAAATTCTACAAGGACAATGGAAAATTCAATTTTCATTATTTTCATCAAATTCTTTTCTTAGAAAATTTTATTTATTTATTTATTTTAATAAACAAATTATTTCTTTTAATAAGCAAATTATTTTCTTTAATAAAACAAATTACTTCTTTTAAAAAATAAATTTTTACATCAGTTTTTGATAAAGAAAATTTTAATTTTTATGAATGAAATTTTTCAAATTGTTTAATTTAATATAAATAAATGCAATTTTTGCGTATGAAGGAAAATTACAAAAATTGCATATTGTACAAATTTTGAAAATTAAATATTCATTTGAAATTATAAATATTATATTTATGAAAAATAAGGTGGAAAAATATTCACATCCGCATTGATTCGTTCATTTTGAATTTCCACTTGCTTTAAATAATTTAATTCTTTACACATATTTCGATATTTCTCACGATCCGTTGGACACACTAAATCAAGATTATGACCATTTTTATCGACGAACGCCATATAGGATATTTTTATTTCTTCCAATTCAGACACAATTGCTTTCAATTTTTCTACTTCCTTGCGATCAACGTCCGCCTGAGCGGCTCTCAATTTCAAAAGTTTTATATCTTCCTCCATTGAAAGATACTCAGTTAGCTGTAACCATTTTTATAAAACGAAAATAATAAAAAAATAAATAATTGGAATGGAAAAAGAAAATTTATTTAAAAAAAAAGAAAATTAAAAACTATACAAAAAGGGAAAATTGTTTTTTTAATTTTAATAATGATAAAAGAAATAATAATTTTAAATGAAGTATTTTTTTATTTGAACCAAAAAAAATTCAATTCTTGTTCTTATTTTTTTATTCGAACTAAAAAAATGTAATTTTTTAAAATATTTTTTTAATCGAACTAAAAAATGCAATTTTGTTTTATTATTTTTTTAATCGAACTAAGAAAAATGTAATTCTTTTCATTACTTTTTTTTATTCGAACAAAAGAAATTCAATTTTTGGTATTTTTTTTTATTTGAACTCAAAAAAAAAAAATACCAAAAAAATTGATTTTCTTTTGTTTCGAATAAAAAAATAAGAAAAAGAATTGAATTTTGTTTATTGCAATAAAAAAATAATAAAAATTGCATTCTTTTGATTCGAAAAAAAATAAATTAAAATTGCATTCTTTTGGTTCAAATAAAAAATATAATAATTAGAAATTGAATTTTTTTGGTTCGAATAAAAAAAAAAGAAAAAAAAAATTGATTTTTTTTATTCGAATAAAAAAAAATTGCATTTTTTTGGTTCAAATAAAAAAAATAATAAATTATAATTGCATTCTTTAGTTGGGAATAAAAAAAAAAAATAAAAATTTTTGGTTCAAATTAAAAAGAAAGAAAAAGAATTTTTTTATTCGAATAAATTGAAATTTTTTGGTTCAAATAAAAAAAGGAAGAAAAAAAAAATAAAAAAAAATTTATAAAATTGTGTTTCTTTGCTTTAATTAAGAGAAACAATAAAAAATTGCATTCCTTTGGTTCGAATGAAAAAATAATAAAACAAAATTGTATTCTTTTTTGGATCAGATAAAAAAATAATAAAAAAAAGATTTGCAAATTTTTTTTTTTTGAACGATTTTTTTTAATATCGAAAAAAAAACCTTCAGTCTGAGTTGATCACGTTCTTCGACAATTTTTGTTATCGATTCACCGCAAACTCTCAATACTTTTGGACCGTCTTTGACAATTTTATCGAGTTGCATTCGCAATTGATCCTTGTGTGTCGATGTTTCATTTAATTCATTCAATAATTCCTCGGTTTTATTATTTCGTCGTAAATTCCTCAATTCACGTTCCATTTGTAGACAATTTTCTACAAGGACATTCACCTGTTTTTTTAAATCCTCCCTCTCGATTATCATTTTATCGTAATCTTGCAATTTTTGCGTCAATTCTATAAATATTTTTTTTTTCTATTTTGTATTTACTTCAAACTTTTGATATTAATTTAATTTTCTTATTTTTTATATTTTGTAAAATTACTTTTCCAAAAAAAAAAAAAAAAAAAAAAAACAATGAAATTTTTTAACAAGAAAAAGATTTTTAATTCAAAATTTCCTTTTTTTGAAAAAAGAAAATTGCGAATAATCATTTTTATCTTCAATTAAAATCTTTATTATTTATTTACTTATTTTTGATTTTTGAAATGATTTTTGAAATATATTTAAAGTTTTTTTTTTGAAATTTTTTTTTAAATTTTTTAAATATTTTGTAAAGAAGAAAATTATTTTTTAAACCTGTATTTTCTGCACAGAGTTGAGAATATTCATTTTTAAAACGATTTTTTTCATCCTTTGTCATAGTGATTAGTGATAATTCTCCCTTTTCAACTAATTCCATTATTTTCACATGCGTCTCTAAACCGGGTTTTATTCTATTTAAGTCAAATTCTGCAATCTGGAGGAACAGTGCCAAAAGAATTGCAAAAATTAAATTTATTGTTCATTTGAAAAAAAAATTTATTTCTACCTTTTTTTAATATAAATGCAATAAATTTTCCAATTGAATAAATAAATATTTATTTAATTGCAAATTTCATTAACGTTTTTTTTATAATAAATAAAATAAATTTTCCAGCTGAGTAAATAAATATTTATTCAATTGGAAAATTTATTTTATTTATTTAACATTTCAATTTTTATTTAATTGCAAAATTGAAACTATAATTAATTCTTTAATTTATTTAATTAATTAATATTAATTCTTTTTTTTATAATAATTAAATAATTTATTCTGTAATAGAAAGAACCTTGGTCGTAACAGTGTCTTGTAAAAATTCGGTGGTTCCTCTCAAACTTTTTCTCTTTTCTCTCAATTTTTCAATATCTTCATTTAAACGTAATTTTTCTTTCTCTAACATTATTAAATGTCCATACAATTGTCGTTGACTTGACGGCAATGAATAAACACGTTCAATCAAATGAATTCGTTCATCTTCAATTAATCCAATTCGCTTTAATTGAATTCGAAGGGATTCTAAACTTTGAAACAATTGTTGCGTTCCTTGCAATAATCTATTCTCATAAGTTTCCTGAAAAATTTGTATCAGCAGAAATTTTTTTTTCAATACCAGTGTCTTTATTATTTAATTGTAATTTTTAATATTAATAACAATAATAAATAATAAAATAATTATAAAATGAAATCAAAATTATTTGATTCAATAAAATATTTATTTGATAATAGACAAGTAATCGTTGATTTGAATCAAATATTTTTTAGTGTATTATTTAATATTTCATTAATATAATTGCAAATTATTATTTAAGATTTAATTGAAAATTATTATTTAATATTTAATTGAAAATTATTATTTAATATTTAATTGAAAATTATTATTTAATATTTAATTGAAAATTACTATTTTGGATTTAATTGCAAAACTATTACTAAATTATTAGTAAAAAATTGTTATTCAATTGTAATATTAATATCAATTTTAAGTAAAACAAATATTTTTTTCAAAATTATCCAAAATTCTATTAATTATAATATAAATGGGAAAATAAATTTATATTTTTATTTTAATTAAAAAATATACATGAATCTTATACTGGTAAAGATCAATGGCAGAAGTATTTCCTTTACCGCAAATCAAATCACATTCCATTGTTGATAACATTTTTTCCTAAATAAGAGAAAATTTTATTTTCATTTTTTTCAGCTTTTAATTTATTATTATGTGAATTTTCATATTAAAATTATTTTTTATATAAGCAATAAAATTAATGATTAATTAATTGAATAATTATCAAAATTGGCACTCTACTTGCTGTTTAATTAATCTCTCTAATCTCGTAAGAGTTTTTAATATATCCTCTCGCATTAGAGTCTGTTCTGATGGAAAATGATTCTTTTGTTTAAATCTATCCAGAGCCATTGAGAGACTTTCGTTATCGTAAAACGAATCCGTTTCTTGACACTTGTAAAATTAAAATTATAATTTAAAAAGAAGTAAAAATTTTTTAGAAAAAAAGTAAAAATTTAAAAAAGAAGTAAAAATTTAGAAAAGAAATTACAATTTAAAAAAGAAATTGTAATTTAGAAAAGAAATTATTATAAATACAATATTAAATAGTCTACTCTCGTTAAATAATGATTTTCAAGGGACATGAAAAAAAATTTAAATTATCGAGGATTTTATTTATATTACAATTTTTTTAAAAACCAAAATTATTTACAGGAACTCCTTCAATTTAATGCGAAAAATTCAATTTATCGACAATTTAATTATCGAGAGTTAACTGTATTTATATTCAAAAGTAAATATATTAACAAAAGAAACGTTAATAAAAATTAATAGAAATTCAAAAAAAAATTTTTTATAAAAATTTAGAAAAGAAATTTAAACAAATTAATAAAATAATAAATTAGCTATAAATAAAAAAAATTTTTTTGGTGTTAAAATTATCCAAAAATTCTTACTGTATTCTTGAATGACGTTAGCATATCTTCCTTGATTGACATTTTCAAAAAGAAATATAATTGCTCTCGTTGGCAGCATAATAATTTTTTTAAATTTATTATATACTCGTCTTTTTTTATCAACAATGTTTTTAGACGATCGTCTGAATTTAAGCATTGCAGAGAAATTTTTTCCGACAATGGTTCCTTTGGGAAAAATTATTATTAATTTAAATTATTAATAATAAATCATCAAAAAAAAAATAAATAAATAAAACTAATGATAATAATAACAAAATTAAGTTATTTGATAACATTAATTAATTAATAAGTAGTTATATTAACCAACACTAATTAATTAATCAATTAATTGATTAATGTTAATTAATGCAATTCATGAATAAAGAAGCAAAAAAAGAATTTTTATTAATTAACATTAAATTAATAAATATTAATTAACATTAACATTAAATAGTTAGTAATTAAGACTAATTAATTAATTATTTAGACTAATTAATTAAATAATTAATTATAGGTAATAATTAACCTTAAATTAATTAATAGACTAACAATATAACAGCGAGAAAGGAATTTTTATTTATTGACATTAATTAATTTGTTTGTAGTTCTTAATTAACACTGATTAATTGGTCTATTAGTTAATTAGTGTTAATAAAGGTAAATATAATTAAAACTTTTCTTTCTTTTCTGCTATTAATTTTAATCGTTTTTTCTTTCAAATAATTATAAATACTTGAATAAAAGGATGGGAATTTGTCTCTGCACGACAAAGTATTTTCGATTCCTGTGAAAGCAACCTTTTCTCAGTATCAGATGATTCCTCATTTTTCTGCAATGAATTTTTAAAGGATACTTCATATTCCTCGCGCGTGTCAACAGAATCAAGGAATTCTTCTGAATCACTGCTATTACTACTCGAAGTTGAATTATAATCCTCTAAAGATGACCAAAACATATTTTTATATTTGAGCAACTATGAATTTTTTCGAGGGTATAAAAAAATTTACATTAAAAATATAGAAAATTAAAAACAAAAACTTTGTGTCATGCTCGCTTTTAAACAATTTAATGACATTTGTAACGATCTTTCTTTATTTTTTTTTTGTGTAAGGAATTTTATTTATTATTTGAGAAAGATTGCTTCTCGTCTTCTTTACTATTATTTAATAATTTTAATATTTCCTTTTAGTCTTAGCAATATTTTTTTTTAATTTTATTTTATTTCGATATAAAAATAAAAACAATTGGAGAAAATAGAGAAAAAGAGGCAATAGAGAAAATAGAGAAAAACATTCTTTGAAATTAAAAGAATAAAGAACAAAAAATGTTTAAACAAACAAAAAATTAATTAAAAAATAAAAAAATGAGTATATTTTTTTTCAAAATAGAGAAATATTTTTTAATTTGATTTCAAGTTTAATATTGCCACCGAGAAATAATTTTTTCCCTCTGAAAATCATCGCCATTTAAACTTTGACAATTGAAAATCGAATTACCTTTCACAGCGCCTTCATATTAATTTTGATGATAATTTTTGATAGGTTAGAGGATAATTAATGGATTAAATCGAATAATATTGTTATTGTAAAAAAAATATTTATATTATAGTAGTAAAAATAGTTAATTGTAATAATTTTAAAAATATGGCGGATCAATCGAAACAGGAGAAACAAAAATCACTTCCTCCTTTTATAAATTTCCTCAATGCTGGACTGTCCGGGTAATAAAATTACACTAATTTTTATTAACATTTTAAACAATTTTAAATAAATTTTAATTTCAAATTTCAATTTTTATTAATAATTTTGAAGAAATTTTAATTTCAAATTTCAATTTTTATGAATAATTTTGAAGAAATTTTAATTTCAAATTTCAATTTTTATTAACAGTTTTGAAGAAATTTTAATTTCAATTTTCAATTTTTATTAATAATTTTTTATAAAAACCTAGTTTCCCTATTTATTGAAATTTTTAATTTTTTCGTATTTTATTTAAATTAATTTTTTTAATATTTATTTACAATAAGTAAACGAGGTTTACAAGAAGATAAAGAGCCCTTTCGTATTAATATTATATTAATAACTTTATTCACCAAAAGAATTTAGCTAAATAATGAAAAAATAATGTTTACCGTCTTTTTACTAAAATTATTGAACAATTTTTTCGTTTTTTATTGAAATTAAATTTATTGTTTTTTAATGAAATTAATTTTTATTTTTTTCGTCTTTTATTTAAATTAATTTGTATTTTTTCTTGCTTTTTATTGAAATTAATTTTTATTTTTTTTTCGCTTTTTATTGAAATTAATTTTTATTTCTCTCGTTTCTTAGTGAAATTAATTTTTATTTTTTCTCCTTCATTATTTTGAGTAATTTTTACTTTTCTCCGTTCTTTATTAAAATTTGTTTTCAAGTTTTTCCCTTTTTATTGAAATTAATGTTCATTTCTTCTAGTTTTTTCTTGAAATTAATTTCTATTTTTTCTTATCTTTTACTTAGATTAATTTTTAATTTTTTCCATTTTTTATTAAAATTAGCTTTTAAGTTTTTTTCCTTTTTCACATTGAAATTAATGTTCTTCTCCTTATCTTTCTAAAAAGCTAAAAATTAATCTTTCTAGCTGAAATTAATATTTTACTTTGTCCACGTTTCTTATTTAAATTAATTTACAATTTCTCTTTTTTAATTATCTTTAATTTTTTTAAATTTTCTTTTATTTTTAAAAATTTTTTTTTATTTTTTTAAATTTTTTTTTATTTTTTTTAATTTTCTTTTATTTTTTTAAATTTTCTTTTATTTATTTAATCCGGACCAACTTGTTCGTTTTTATTTACCTTATAATTTAATTTCTATTTTTTTGTATATTTTTTCGAAAAATATTTTTGTAATTTTCATTTTTTTATTTTCACTTAGTATATGTGCAACTTGCGTGGTGCATCCAACTGACGTGGTTAAAAATCGAATGCAAATTAGTACGGAGACGGTGTCAATTAAAAAAACATTTCTTCACATTCTTCGTAATGAGAGGATAATTAATTTTTACGATGGATTGAGTGCAAGTTTGGTCAGACAAGCAACTTATACAACAACTCGATTGGGAGTTTACAATCAGCTTCAGGACAGTTGGAGGTTTTTTTTCTTCATTTTCTTAAAAATTATAGTTTTCAATTTAAATAAAAAAAAAATTTTTTCTCTTTTTTGGAAAAAAAAACATAGAGAAAGGTACACAGGCAAGCCAAATTTTTTAACTTTATGCGCAATGGCTGCAATTGCCGGAGGATCTGGTGCATTTATTGGAACACCGGCTGATCTTGCATTAGTGAGAATGACAACCGATGGACGACTGCCTCCAGGTATAATAATAATAATTTTTTTATTTTATTTCCTTTTTATTTGAATTTATTAATTTTCTTGTGATTTCCAAGTTTGAAACGTTCAAATGAACGAAATATTTTTTTAATAATAATATTTTCATAAATTATTATAATTAAATCTTTAATAATTGATTATCCTGCAAAAAGTAGTTCTGTAAAAAAAGATTAGTGTGATAATTAATATTTAAGTAGTTACTGCAAGTAACAGTCAGACAAGCAAAATATACAATGGATGCAATTTGAAAAAATTAAAATTTTGTTTTGTTATAAAATAAATTTTACTATATTTAAGTAGAAAAATTTGTTCTGCAAAAAATTTTAGTGTGATAATTAATATTTAAGTAGTTACTACTAGTAACAGTCAGACAATAAAAATATACAATGGATGGAATTTGAAAAAAGTAAAATTTTCTTTCGTTATAACAAATTTTACTATATTTAAGTAGAAATATTTGTCAATAGTCAGACATAGAAGAAAGTAGCAATTTTTTTTTCTAATTATCCTAGTTTTAAGTAGAAGAACCTAATAAATAGTCAGACAAATAAAGAAATAATAGTTTTTTTAAGTTTAGAAAATAATATTTCAACCCCAGAAACTAATTTCAATCTAAAACACTATTTTTTCTATTCATTTTTAAAATCGATTTTTAGTTATAAATTATAATTAATTATTGTCAAAAAAATATTTATTTCGAAATATTATAAAAAAAAATAGTTGTAAAAATTGAAAAAAACGTAAATTTAACAAAACTGTGTGAATATAAAATCTTGAAAAAATATTTTTAAGTAGAAAAATCGAAATCGATTATTAACAGATTATTATTATAATTAAATCATTAATAATTATTAATTATCCTAATTATTATTAACAAAATTATTTTTTTTGTGTCTAAAAAATATATTTTTTATTACATGCAATTTTTTTATAACTGTTTTATAATTATTTTTATAGATCAGAGGAGAAACTATAGGAATGTGGCTGATGCATTTATAAGGGTGGCAAAAGAGGAAGGTGTAATGAATTTATGGAGAGGAAGTGTCGCGACAATGGGAAGAGCTGTTGTTGTTAATGTTTCACAATTAGCGACTTATAGTCAAACAAAAGTTTTGATTAATTCAAAAAGTAAATATAAAATTTTATCAAGAATCGCCATAATTCAAAGAAATTTATTTTGTTTTGATTTTGTTAATTTTTCTCTTCATTATTTTTTATCAATTTAATTTTAAATCAATTTTTTTAAAAATGTATTATATTGCCTATTAATTATATTATTTAATTATTATCTTATGATTAATTATTATTTTATTGAATTATTTCATTCTATTAAAAATGTAATAAAAAAAAATTAAATATCAAGAAATTAGAAATTGAATAAATAAATATTATTTAATTATTATTTTTTATTATTAATTTGTTATCATTTCATTATTATATTTTTCAAATTATTGTTTTTTGTTTCATTAATTTTGCATTTTTAATTTATTCTAATTTTTCAATTTTATTATAAACGTTATCTTCGTTTTTGAATAAATTCTTATTCATTTTATTAATTTCATTATTAATTTCATTTTTTCTAAATTAATTTTTAGTGAACGTGCCAGAAGGTTTTTTACTGCACATTTATTCAGCAATGATTTCGGGTCTTGTGACATCTTTTAATTCAATGCCATTCGACATTGCAAAAACAAGGTAAATTATTTTTATAATAATTTGAATTAAAATTTATTTAAAATTCAATTTGTATTATTATAATTTACAACTATATAATTCATTTTAATAAACTATTAATTTATTTATTTATATATTTAATTTTTAATTAATTAACAAAAAAAATTAACTAAAAACTACACAAAAATTTTTATAAATATTTATAAATTTATTAAATATTTATTATTTTAAATAAAATGTATATAAAAATGTTTACAGAATCCAGAATTTAAAGGACGTTAAAAAACCACCAACTATTATAAAAGTTATGCTAAATATAGCAAAAACTGAAGGAATTATGGCTCTTTGGAAAGGATTTGTGCCAACTTACTGTAGAATTGGACCTCATACAATAATTACTTTCGTCTGTAATGAGCAATTTGCTAAATTTTACAAAACTTATGTTTCTAAGTAAATTCTCATTAAAAAAGAAATTCTTCCTATTCATTTATAAATAATTTTTTTTTTTTTTACTGTTTTACATATATTTTTAGATTCCTAAGATTATTTTATTTTTACTTATTTTCTTTTATTGCGTTATTTACTTTATATTCATCTTTTTTCAATTGCAAAATAAATTTTTTTTGTATTTCATTTATTATTCATGTAAATAATTATTTTCAAATTTTAGTATATAATTTTTATTTCGATTTGCACTCGATTTTATTTTTAACGAGAGACTAACAAAAATTTCTTTGCATAAGAAATTTTCCTCGTTGAAAACAGTCCCATGGGAATGAAGAGAAAATACTTAAAGAAAATTGCATTTCTTTTTCAAGATATAATTTTTTTTTACTCTTCACTTGTGATAACATCTATTTTATCGTTAAATTAATTCTCCAGAGATTTTCTTCTTTTTTTCTTTTGGTCTGTAATTTTCTTCATTTCTTCGAAATCTAAAAATTTTCCAGAGACTCAATCTCGTCAACTTCTCACTGAATGTAATATTTTATTTTTATAATAATAAATTTAAAAAAAATAAAGAAAGAAACACTAAAGGAAATATGTTTTTAGTTTTTAAAAAATATAAATAAATAATTATTTATTAATATTTTAAAAAAAATTTATTTATATTATTTATTTCTTTATACCTAATATATTAATATTTACTGTATTATTATTATTATTAGTATTATTTATTTTATATTTTATTATATTATGTTTTATTTTATTTATTTAAAAATTTTTTTTATTAGATTATAATAAAATAAAATTAAATATAATGATAAAACAATTAAAGTTGAAATAAGAATAACAATAATAAAAATAATAATATAATAATAATAATAATAATTTATAAATAAATAAATTTAATTTGAACTTGTTTCAAGATTTTTGAATATTTGAATTTTCCCGCATTTAAGTGCAAGCGCCACGTGACAGAACCCAACCTAACCTAACCTTCAGTTATCGACAAACAACGTTGCTGTTTTCAACTGTGTCCGGTTTGTTTGTTTCTTATTTTCATAATTTATTTGGTGTATTTGGCGTTTTAATTAGATGCAAAAAATTGATTACCCCTTCGGATATCTAAGGTAAGTAGAAAATAATTCAAATTTCATAATTATTCATTCAAAAAATTAATACTCAACGAGAATTTCCAAGTACTGCAAATTCCTAACCTATGAAAATAATTTCTCCTTTTTTTATAATTTCTAAATAAACTCTATTTATTAATTAATAATTATATATACCAGCTAATATTTATGCAATTTTTATTCTTTTTGGTATTTTACGCCTTCGATTTCCATTTATTTTTTAAATTAGAAACGATAACCAAGAAAGTTAAAAATTGTTTATATTTTGTTTATGCAAAACATTAATATTTTGCTAATGCGATATTTATGTTTGAAAATATAATTAACATACAGTTCTGTAATTAGTAACAAAAATAGTGAAATATGTAAATATTCCATTATTTTCTTTTTAATAAATAAAAGCAGAAAAAAATAGTAAATTAAAACAAAATTTTCTTCGTAAATTTCAGTTAAAAAATAGAAAAAAAATGTCAGACGACGAGGAAATTTATGTAAAGAAGCAAAAAATAGTTCACTATGGCTCATTGGAGGAGAGTGAACGTGCAAGAATTGCAGCAGCCGCTGATGATGGTTCCGACGACGATAAAGACGATTCAACGCCAAATAAAAATTCAAACTCGGCAATGTCAGCAGGAAATGTGCACATTTCCACGGAGTACATGGACCTTGAGGATGAAATGTCTAAAGATCGTCAAGCACTACTCGAGGAATTTGAACGACGCAAGAAAGCGCGACAAATTAATGTTTCAACCGACGACTCGGAGGTGAAGAAAAATCTCCGACATTTGGGCGAGCCAATTTGTTTATTTGGCGAGGGACCAGCCGAGAGACGTGCAAGATTGAGAGAACTTCTCGCTAGTCTCGGTGAAGATGCGATAAAAAAGAAACACGACGACGAGGAGAAACCCTCTCAACTCGTTGAGAAAGATACCGAAACTTGGTATCACGAGGGTCCCGATTCTCTACAAATTGCTCGTCAATGGATTGCTTGTAATTTTTTAATTATTATTATATTTTTACTTTAAATCGTAACATTTTTTTAACATTCAAGATATTAATAGTACTTTAAATTATTATTTCAGTTATTTCTAAAAAATATTCCAATCAATTCGAATTATTTCTGTTCCTGAATTTTCGAACGATCAAATAAACGAAATTTTTTCTACATCCTTTGAGATCCAATCTATCGAGAGTCGACTGTATAAAGTTAAAAGTGAATAAAAAAAAATACAGAATAGAAAATCAAAAGTGAAAAAAAACTACTGAATATAAAATTAAAAGCGAATTGAGCATTAATTTGTTTACTTTCAGCATATTCCTTGCCGAGGGCGAAGGCGAGATTAGAGAACGCAAGGCAGGAATTGGAACTTCCAGGTGCAACGCGTACAGCTCGACGTCAGGAATTACTGAAGAAATTGCAAGCATTGAGTATTTATTGTTCGCAAATTGGCGACACGAGACCGATTTCCTATTGCCAGTTTAGTCCAAATTCAAAAGTTCTCGCCACGGCGTCATGGTCGGGAAGTTGTAATTTGTGGTCTGTACCAGATTGTAGTCACTTACGAACATTAAAAGGTCATAATTGTAATGTTGGATGTATTGTTTTTCATCCCAAAGCAACAATCGATGACGATCTTCTTGCCAATGAAAGTGAACAAATTTGTATGCTGGCGAGTTGCGCGTCTGACGGTAAATATTTTTCTTCTAATCAAATTCCATTGAAAAAAATTTATTTGTTTTAAATAATTTTTAATGTTACACGGAAAAAATTTTATTTGATTCAAATAAACGATTACTTGAATATTATCAAATAAACGATTACTTGACAATCAGCAAATAAATATTTATTTCCATCAAATAATATTTATTTCCATCAAATAATATTTATTTCCATTAAATAATATTTGTTTTTATCAAATAATATTTATTTCCATCAAATAATATTTATTCCCATCAGATAATATTTATTTACATCAAATAATATTTATTTGAGCCAATTAAATGGTATTTGCTTCAAATACTAAAATTATTGATTCAAATATAATTTATTTGACTTAAATAAAAACTATTAGATTCAATTAAATATTTATTTGATAATAGACAAGTAGTTGATTGAAACAAATAAATTTTTTTCAATGTAAATATTCTCAAATATTCTTTGTATTTGGAGGAAATTGATAGTATTATGGTATTATTAATTATTAATACTCAAAATATTATTAACAATTAATACTTAAAATATTATTAATTAATAACGCTTTTAGTAATATTAATTTCAGACTTAGCATTTATCTACCAAATCTACTATTTACTATACTATTTTACGATATTTCTATTACTTGAACTTTATAAAACCAAACTAATACGATCTTTTCAAATTTTAGTCGATTAAAATTTTAAAATATTTAATAAAAAATTAAAATTACAATACGTTTATTAATTTACAAGTTAATATTTTTTGTATAATATTTTTTATCAACAAGAGTTACAATTGAAATTTTCAAATAATCAATTTTTTACGAATATACTTTTGTATTTGAATAATTGAATTTTAGTAGTTAAATAAGAATTGATTCAAAAAGGAATTTCTGTTAAAGTTTTACAAAATAATTAAAAATTAGAAGCGTTATAGTAGGATCTTTTACAAATAAATAAATTTCCAAAGGTTTTTAAAATGAAATCGTTAAAAATTTGAATTGCTAATAAAGTATAATAATATTTAAAAATTTATTTTTCCAACAAATTATTAAAGTTTTGAATAATTTTATTTAAAACCTATACAAAAAATAATTCGACTTTAGAAGAATTGCAGTTGTAATTTTTTAATAATAAATTAAATTTCCAAAAGTTTTACATTGAAATTATATTTAAAATTTTAATTTCTGTGGAAAAATAAATAACAATAAGTGTTTAAATATTTAATTAACGAAAATTACTCAATGGAATTTTGAATAATTTAATTTAGAAATTCTAAAAGAAATTAAGTTTTTTGAAAAATTGTAATATTTAAGTATTTATTTTCAAAAATTATTACTTTATTAGTTTTTTTTAGGAAATTATTAAAGTTTTGAAAAATTTTATTTAAAATTCTTTCTAAAAAATAGTTTAATTTTGGAAGAATTGCAGTTGTAATTTTTAGAAATAATTAAATTTCCAAAGATTTTTCATTGAAATTATTTAAAATTTTAATTTCTGTGAACAAATAAAATAAGTGTTTAAATATTTAATTAACAGAAATTACTTATTGAATTTTTGAATAATTTAATTTAGAAATTTTAAAGGAAAGGAAGTTTTCGAAAAATTGTAATAACTTATTACAATATTTTAGTATTTATTTTTAATTATAAATTTATTATTTTTCTAAAAAATTACTAAAGCTTTGAATAATTTTAATTGAAAATTCTTAAAAGTAATTGAGTTTTTGTAGAATTGCAGGTGTAATTTTTATAAATAATCAATATTTCCAAAGATTTTACAATAAAATTATTTGAAATTTTAATTTGTTGAAAAATATAAACTAATAAGTACAAATTAAAATATTTGTTTAACAAAAATTATTAGGTACGGAAATTTTGATTAATTTAAGTAAGAATTCACAAAAAATTGTAATTAAATTTCTTGAATATTATAGTTAAATTTACGGAAATAATTTTAAAAATTCGAAACAGTCGTAAATTTTGACAAATTTCATTGAAATAAATTTTATATTTGAAAGAATTTTGATTTTTTATTTTTAAAACTAATTTTTAAACATAGTAAAATAATTAAAATTTAATACTAAACAATTTTCAAACATAATCATATTCTTAAAGAATTAATTATAATTCTTCTAATTCTAAATTTAGAAAATAATTGAATTATACAAAAATTTAGAAATGGAGTTATTTTCATAGTAGGGAAAAAAAGTTAATATTCCTTCTGGAAAAAAGGAAAATACATAATTAAATTTTTGATTAAAATTAATTATTTAATTAATTATTAAACCTAAAGAAAATTGAGTCTTTTTTGTCCATTGAATTTACTAAAACGAGTTTTTCCAGCCGTCAACTTTAATTTGCTGATAGCTGCTTTTTTAGTTCTTCTTTTCAGTCTTAAAGCTACGGTTTTCTAATTAATTAACGAGTGCGAAGTCTGTAATTTCCTCAAAAAAAAAAAAATATTTGAAATAAATTGAATTTAATTAAAAAAAAGGAAGATAATGTGAAAAAAAAGATGCTCGAATATCAAAAGATTATTTTTCTGAATAATATTTATTTGCAGGTACTGTTAAATTATGGGGAGGCGGAACAGGAGAGAAACCACTGGCAGAGGTCGAGGGTCATGAACCTTTTCGAGTTTCAAGGATAGCGTTTCATCCATCCGGGAGATTTCTCGGCACATGTTGTTACGATTCTTCATGGCGACTTTGGGACTTGGAGCAACAAGCCGAAGTCCTACATCAGGAAGGCCACGCGAAACCGGTGCATTGCATCAGGTGAGAATATTCCCTTCGGTATTTTTAAAGAGAAAAAAAATAATTAATAATTAAATTCGAAATTAAATTCGAAATTTTAACCAGAGAATTCTTTTCTAATTTTCGTACCATTTTTTTTTTTTGCAGTTTTCAATGTGACGGAAGTGTCGTGGCGACCGGCGGTCAAGATTCATTCGGCAGAGTATGGGATTTACGAACCGGTAGGTGTATAATGTTTATGGAGGGTCATTTAAAATCGATATTTGGAATAGACTTTTCGCCAAATGGTTTTCACGTTGCCACTGGAAGTGAGGATAATACATGTAAAATTTGGGATCTTCGCAAACGATCCTGCATTTACACTATTCCAGCGCACACGAGTTTATTGTCCGATGTCAAGTATCAAAAAGTCGAGGGACAATATCTAGTCACAAGTTCATATGATGGCACGGCAAAAATATGGTCCAACAAAACTTGGCAGCCATTGAAAACATTACCGGGACATGATGGGAAAGTTATGTCTGCGGATATATCGACAGATAATCAGTTCATCGCAACAAGTTCATTTGATAGGACTTTCAAATTATGGGCACCGGAAATAGTGTAGATGGACTTTTTTATTCGCAAAAAATACACAAAAAAAGAAGTGTATTTTCTAGAGGAAAATTTCACATTTGAAAATGAAAAAATTCACAATTTTTTTTAACCCCAAAAAACGAAAGAGAGTGAAATTTCAAGAATTAAAAATCGAATTGTAAATAGTGGACTATTTAAATTGTGGAAAAAAGTGGATTTTTTCTCCACACATTTTTGACAACAGTTTGATTGTTTTGTTAATTTAACGAAAAAAAAAGAGAAAGAATGATACGATACTGATTTATTTATAACGGAGGTCATTCAACGGAAAGCTGATATATCGTTTATTTGCTAATAAAACTGGGCAGATTCAGTTGTAATCTACTTGCGTCAATCCATGATATTACAACTTTTCACTTTCTTTTTTTTATTCCTTTTTTTTAATAACTTCCATTAATGTAGAAACAATTATTCTTTGAATATTTTTTTCTTTCTTTTTCAATTTTATTTTTCCGTAAATACAAAAGAGAAAATAAGAGGGAGAGAGGGAAATAGAAATTAGAAAATTTAAAAAAAAATGGGAGAAAATGGAAAAATTGCAACGTAACCTTCATGAATACACGGAATCTTCCAGTGTCGATTAGTTTTAATTGCTTCGAGTTACATCACGAGGAAGTGTTTTCGAGATTAAATGCTTTACTTGAACTTACGTACAATTTGATGCATCAATATTTGTTATTAAAATGTCTTAAATAAGATTAGAGGAGTTTCATTTGTCAAGGCAAGAGACGATAAAATGATAAAGTGTGTGCAATTTTCTTAACATGATAAATTTATAAACTTCCTCTCAACTTTTGAATTTGTCTTTTCTGTTGAAAATCTCTTTTTTTCAATTAATCTCTTCTTCCAATTAAGTAATTAATTAAATCGATTAAATCAGTAATAAATATTTTTCGATACTAATTAATTATTTTCGAGTCAAATTTATAAAGTTCCTCTCGACTTTTGCATTTTTTTTCTGCTAAAAAAAATTTATCTCTTTTTTTAATTACAGGCTTTGTGCTAATTCACTAAAACCTATTAGGCTTTTTTTATTTATAATCTATTTACTATTTTTTCTATGATTTGCTTCTATGATTTGGATACTTTTAATTAATCTTTAATTTTTAAATTAATAACAAATTAAGTACCTAATTTATGTTGAATTATTTTTACAAAAAATTTATTTCTTCGTTGAATTTCAGTCATTTTTAATATTTACTATTTAATAAAACTTTTCAGAAGAATTCAATTATTTAAAAAAATTAATGAAATTCTTCTCAAAATTAGAATTATTTTCATAAATAATAAAATTATCAAAGGAAATTCAATTATTTTAAATACAATTTTCAAAAAAGAAAATTTCGAAGGAAATCAATTATTTAAAATATTTTAATAAAATTCTTTGACTGAAATAAATTAATTTCAAAAAATTTTGATAAAACTTGTTTAAAAGAATTCAATTATTTTCAATACAATTTTTGTTGAATTACTAGAACGAATTTAATTCTTTCCAAACACAATAAAAATTCTAGCAAGAATTAAATTATTTTGATTACAATTTTAATTAAATTTCGTGAAATAATTCAATTACCTTAATTAAAATTTTAATAAAATATTTCTCGCAAGAATTCAATTATTTCTACAAATAAAATTCAAAATAAAAATTTAATTTTTTGTAGAAATAATTGAATTTTTGCGAAATATTTTAATAAAAATTTAAAAGATATTTGAACTATTTCACCAAATTTAATTAAAATTGTATTGAAAATAATTTAATTCTTGATATAATTTTTATTATGTTTGGAAATAATTAAATTCGTTCTAGTAATTCAATACAAATTGTATTGAAAATAATTGAATTCAATTATTTCTACAAATAATAGAATTCTTCACAAAAATTCAATTATTTTCAAAATTTATAATTTATTTCAAAAATACTGTCAATAATAAAATTTTTTTTTAAAAAAATTGAATTATTTTTAAAAATATTAATAAAATTTTTCACTGAAATTCAATTATTAAATAAAAATAAATTAAAAAATTCTTCGAATAATTTAATTATTTTCAAAAGTATTAATAAAATTCTTCACAAGAATTCAATTATTTTCACAAATAATAGAATTCTTCGAAAGAATTCAATTACTTTCAATATTTCCTAATTCTATTAGATTTTTTCGAAACAATTCAATTACTTAGAAAATTTTCAACAGAATTTACTAAAAGTAATCAATTATTTTAAATGCAATTTCAGTTAAATTCATCGAAAGAATTAAATTATTTTCAAAATTTATAATTTATTTCAAAGATACTGTCAATAATTAAAAATTCTTCGAAAAAATTCAATTATTATTTTTGAAAATATTAATAAAATTCTTCACAAAAATTCAATTATTTTCACATATAATAAAATTTTTTGAAAGAATTCAATTACTTTCAATATTTCCTAATTCTATTTGATTTTTTCGAAACAATTCAATTTATTTAGAAAAATTTTGACAAAATTATCTAAAAAATCAATTATTTTTGAATAATTTTAATAAAATTTGTTTTGAAAAAAATTCAATTATTTTAAATAAAATTGTAATGGAATTTTTTGAAAGATTAAATTATTTCCAAAAATTTTAATAAAATTATATGCAAGAATTTAATTATTTCCAAAAATTTTCATAAAATTCTTCACAAGAACTCAAAATTTTAAATAAAATTCTTTAGATTTTAATTTTAGAAATAATTAATTATTCTATCAATTATTTATTTGGGTATGTATTTTAATAATTGAAATCTCGAAAAATTTTCTAATAAGAAACTCGATTTAAAAATTAATTTCAGTTAAATTTAAAAATTTTTTAATTTTTAGAAGTAATTACATATCAAAAGGTTTTTAAATTCGAACCTTTGAAAATTTTAATTCTTATGAAATTGTAATAATTAGTATGTAAATATTTAATTAAAAAATAATTAATTTTTTATTTTAGTAAACAATTATTGAACTTTGGAATAATTTTATTTAAATGTCTTTCTAAAAAAATAATTGAATTTTATAAGAATTGTTGTTGTAGAAAAATTGTTTTTTTATAAATTGTTGTTTTAGGAATAATTTAATTTCCAAAGGTTTTATATTTATTGATAATTTTAATTTCTCTGAAAAAATAAATAACAATAACTGTTTGAATATTTATTTAAAACTTGTTCACCTTTTAAATAATTTAATTGAGAAATTAAGTTTGGTATTTGAAATCGAGTATTTTTTTTTTGAATTTTTGAATCGAGTAAAACGAGATTTTTAATCCTGAAATTTAATTTTTTGTTATCTACTTTTTTTGCTTCTTCCTTTTCAGTCCTAAAGCTACTTTTTTTAAAAAATAATAGTCAAGTACGAAGCCTGCAATTAATTAAATAGTAAATAAATATTTTTCCACACGAATTAATTATATTTTCCAGTCAAATAGAAAAACCAAATAAATCTATTGAATCAAATATTGATACAATAATTTTCCAAATTTAATTCTTTTGTGTCAAATTAATTTTTGAACAGAATTGGCAATTTTTTCTCGTCGAATAATTTTTATCTGCCTCCTCAACAAGAATAATTTCAAAAAAATAAATTTAATTAAAATTTTCCAAAAGAACACGTTTCTAGAGTTTAAATTAATTCATCGCAAAGTCACAAACGATTTTTTTCTAATTCAATTAAAATTTCTCAAATAAATTTAAAAACTTGTCTTTATGAAAAATGCCTTTTTTTCAAGGTTCTCTTTTCTCTTCCATTTTATAAGGAAGACATTCCTTTTTTTCTAATTAATTCACTGTAATTTGCGAGCGTGAATTAAAAATTTTTTTCAAGTCCAGACTCTATAAATATTGAAAGCTTTTGATCATCAGGGGCAAAAAAAAAATAATAAGAAAATATGTTCTCAAGTATTATAAGTATTTTTTTATTTCAAGGCATCGCAAAATAATAGACGAAACTACGACCGCGAAGTGTTTTTGAGAAAAATGAGAGTGGTCGAGTGGAACAATTGAAGGCGGGAGGGAGAAAAAAAAAAGAGAGAGAGAGAATTCTACGCGGGTTCTCATTGAAAAGAGGTAGTAAACTTTGAGAAAATCCCAACGGGTTTCGTGAACATTGGTCCTGTATATATGTATATATAAACGTTATAGCACTGGCGAGAGTTGACTGCATGAGAATTTCAACTTCAAGCGAGTAATGAGCTTTCTAAAGTTTGCAAAGTAGTACAAAGCTATACAGGTTCTTCGATCCCATGCAGTTGGTACTTACGTTTCTTTGATGTTATTTCATAGTCCACTTATTCTTCTGATATTAGCAAACCATATAATCCTTTCTATATTCATCCCTTAACTGAAGCTTTATAATGAATCAAACGCTACTGCCGCTTTTTTTTTCTTACAAAAAAAAAAAAAAAAAACTTACCTAAATCATTTATTCTTTTTATTAAATAAATTATAGACGAGGGGAGGGTTTATTCAAATTATCGCTCATTAAAAAAAGCGGTCAGTTTTTTTTTTTTTTTGCAGAAAGAGGTTCTTTTGATAAAAAATATTGAAGATTGTACCTGATTTTTTTTTTCGCAACGAATCGTTTTATATATACTTTATAATTGTCATATAATTAAATGTCAATATTTGGAGAAAATTTGTACTCGAGACACGATATTTTTTCAAAATTACAGAGAGAGAGAGAGAGAGAGAGAAAGAGAGAAAAGAGAGAGAGAGAGGAAGAAGAGAGCGTGAAAGAATGATAAAAGCGAAATGGAAGGAAGTGAGAAAAAAGAGAGTGAGAGAGAAAAAAAAACACAAACGACGGAAGTTGGAGAACGAAATCCCCTGATCAAAGGTATGTTAATACTGTTTTTACAAAAGAATATTTCCTCATAAAATTTCTATACGGTTCTGATTATTATTTGTCCGATATCTATATGAGTTTTTCAATTCGAAAAATAAATTTACTTATAATTTACGCCTTCAAACGGAATAAAAAATTAGAATAACAATCGTAAATGTCGCGTGTGTGTTTGTGAGTTTGTGAAACCAAATTATTGGAAACTCATTTTCACATTTTCTTTTCGATATTTTTTTTTTATGATTTTATTCATTAAATTATAATTTTAATAGCTTCGTTTCATTCATTATAATTTTTTAAATTTTATTTATTTCTATTTTATATTTCTGTTTTTTATTTTTATTTATTTATTTACAATGCAATTTTTATTGAATTACTCGAAAGAATTTAATTATTTCCAAAAATAATAACATTTATAGCAACAATTAAATTATTTCAAATACAATTATTTTTTTTTAATTTTTTGAAAAAATTGAATTATTTAAAAAAAATTAATAA